CAGTCTTCTGGGGAAGTCTCTGTTGAGGGCTGTTTTCCCCCAATGTGATGAAAGGGACTCCAGTGAACTTCCCCCCACCCCACGTTCCCGAATTCTTGGGGAGAAATTTGTTTCCCTTTGTAACCCAGGAAGTTCGAATTTGTGCCGCAGAAAGGCTGGAAACGCTCTCCTTCCCTGGGTCAGAAGGAAACCTGCAGGGGAATGGGGACCGTCTCCTCCCGGGGGCCAAACGCTGAGCGGGGCACCGCCAGGCCTGTCCCTTGCCTTTGGTGTCCCGGGAAGCTGGGAGGCTGCCCAAGGTCCGAGGGTAACGCAGATATTTCTGTATTTGGAGGAAATTTCCAAAAATAGAAGGCCCGTAGCTTGCCGGATTGTTGGAATGTTACGAATTTAAATCCCGCAGCCTTCCCCGACCTCTTAGCAAGCCCTCGGCAATGAGCCCATGATCTGGGGCTGGGTCAGGTGGAGAGGGCCAGACCCGCGACCCCGGGACGCCCGGAGGTGGGCCCGGTTCCGGTCCAGGCCCCGGGGCGACACGAAGCCGGGTCCGCAGGGCGAGGCCGGGCAGCGGGGCCGCGGGATAAAGCGGCAGCCCGTCCTGCGGGTCCCACCTCGGGGTGGAGTGCGTCCGTGGGCTCCCACCTTTTCCAGGCCCTTTAAAAGGCCGAGCGCCCCCGGGTCAGGGAGGGAGGTCAGCAGATCAAAGGGCGGCGCTAACTACGAGGTTCCTTTGGCCCTCGGGGCTCTGCTGCTGGGGGGCGGGGGACACCTGCGCGGACCCGCCCCTCCCCCGCGCTCGCCTTCCGGTGACCCCAGCCCCCTCCCCCCGCGCCCGCGTCCCCAGGCCCGGCGCGGTCCCCGAGTGTCTCTCCCGCGGTTTCCTTCCTCGCCCTCCCGCCTCGCTACAGAGCTACTTCCCCAGCCGCAGACCCGAGGGTCCCTACACCAGCATCTTCGCAGAGTAACTCGAGTGCCCCGGTTCGAATCCCATCGCCACCGCGAGTTTGGGTCTTGCCCTCAGGCACGTTACCTAGCATACCACGCCTGTTTCCTGAAGGAAAGCCCGAGAGGTTAAATTGAAGTTTAGCTGAGTTCATCCGGGCGTCGGGGGAAGGCATGGTTTCAGCAGGACGGGCTAAATCACCCGCACCGGCCCTGGTCTCAGTTCTGGAAACCTCAAGCTCTGGGAGGGTGGGGTGTACAAAGCGGTCACCAGGGAAAGTCCTCTTCCAGCCTGTGTTCCAGGGCCAGCGGTCCAGAGTCGCCTTCATGCTGGGTGCTCTGTTGTGCCTGCCCCACTTCATGAGAAAGGAAGCAATCTGTAAACGATGAAGAAAGATGCTGCCTCCCATCATCTGAATATGTGACTATATAGGGTTTATCCCAACTCCATATACGTAATTCCAGACATGGATGAAAACAGCTCTTTCTTTTGCAAATGTTTGTAAAAACCACCAGTTCTCCTTTCTAAGGAGTGGGAGAAAGGGTAGTGCAGGCATTGTTCAGTATCTAAAGGAAGGCCCTATGGAAAGAGAAAGGGATGCATTGGCGGGAGGGAAGGGACCGGATGGGAGCCAGCTACGTGAAAGGGGCACCAGGCCCTCAATGCTGCTTTGCTTGGGAGCTGGAGAGTTCTCCCCGGTGTCCTGGGGCTGGATGCTGTCCCTGGGCACCTGGAGACTGAGGCTGGGAGCAGCCCTCAGACCAGACCTTTGATCTCTCGCTGCGGCCCTTCCCAAGACCAAGCCCTGCTCCTGTCTGCCCAAAACCTGCTTCAAAGCCAGCTGGGCTGGATCAATACAGATGCTGGAGACAGGAAGAGCCCTGGTGTGCTCAACTTCACACACCATAAACCACACAAAGACCCCAAGCTTCCGAGACCTCTTCCCCTCTCTCTCCCTCTCTCTTCCCGTACAACTTCACAGACACCTCCAATATGTCTTCCCTAATTCTTAACATAAACAGGGTATCTGATCATTTTAAAGTCATTCAGCACTGCAGGGTCCATTTTGTCTAACCCCGACTTTTCGAGACAAAGAAAGAGAAATCCATCAAGATAAAGAAGCTGCAGCCACACTGCATTTAGAGAGGTGGCCAGGACCTGGGCCCAGGGCGGGCAGGCTGAGTCTACTTCGGATCCGGCACCTGGGCCCCTCGGGTGCTGTGGACTCGAGGGGGGGGTAACCAGATGAACCTGCCTGAGCTGGGTCCCACCTGTGGACGACGTCCATTCTGTGTGTACAGGAAGCGTTATTCTCAGCTGGCCCAGGCAGAGTAGAAGCATGGGGGAGGGGGAGATTCTGAGGAGTTTGGGGGCATACTTACTGTAGAACAAAAAAATGGTAAAGTGAATTGCTCTGGGAGTTATAACAAAAATAATTTTGTTGAGGAAGATGGGGTGATTTATGAAGTCTAGACTGCACACCCCCACCACCAACCAAACTAGCCCCGGCAGTGGTTATTTCAGGTAGGAGAGAGGGGCGTCAGGCTCTCCAAGATCCACCTTGGGAAATTTACTTTGCACCCCTTCCCCTGCCCCAACCTCCTACATCATTGCCTTCAGAACCAGCAGACGGAGGAGGGGGAGGGGATGAGACACGGGAGAGGCAGCCGGCCTCCGAGCTCACCCCCATCAGAGGAGGGGGCCACGTTTGCTTGCTCTCTCTTGGAGAGGTAGAGTGGCAACAAAGACACTGTTACCCTTTCTCGAAGGGTGAAGGTCTCCTGTCCCAGAACAGGTGGCTAAGCTCAGGTATCTTTGTAAAACCCTCCTTCTGCAGAGGGAACAGACAGGATGGGGAACAGGGCTGGGGATACCGGGAACATTGAGGGCAGCAGGTGGGAATGGTGAGGCTCCTGCAGTCAGACCTGACCTCATTCCAAACTCTGAGGCTTAACAGTTTGCGGGCATGAGACTCTCAACCTCTTTGAATCTGTACTCTGTGAAATAGAGATTTCATCTGGTATCATAGGGAGGATTAAGGAACATAATTCTACAAAGCGCATGGCACATTGTAGGTGTTCAAGAGATGTGAGTGTACCCCTGTCTCCACTCAGAGACAGAAGGACTGCATTTTTACCACCACAAAGACATAAGAAAGAGATATGAGAGACAAGACAAACACCATGTAAGTGCTGTTATTTCTATTTACAAGTTAATATTGGATTTTGCAAAGCTATATAACATTTATTCCACTTGCTGTCACTTCTCCACTGCTAACCTCCCAATCTTCCAAGTAGTCCTGTGAGTCTCGGAACTACACTGTTACAATGAAAGAGAAACACTGCTTACCCACAGAATCACTGCAATCCACTCTCACCTGGGTAAAAAAAGCCTTTTGAAGGGAAATGACTTGTTCCCTGTATTTACCTTTAAACATCCCTCTTGTGGCAACCTGACCTGCTAATTTTAAAGTTTACCTGGCCCTGTTTGTTTGGTTTTCTTTCTTGGTCCTCTGCCCCTCCCACAGCCCCCTTCCTGTCCTTTATTCACCTCTCACCTGCACGGGAAGCCAGGCTTCCAGAACCCGAGCTCCTTCTCGAATTCTCACATCTGTCTGGGGAAGATAACTAGGTCTAACGGAGGTATTGACAAAGACCGGTGTTGGTGGCCTCTGGGCTCCTTGACCTGCGCGTCCATTCTTTCTGCTTCAAAAAGCCTTTGGAAGTGCTTTTACTGTAAATATTTGAAGTGTGAGTATGGGGCGGAGGTGAAGTCTGGATTCTCATCCCACTCCCTTGCTCAGACAAGGGAAGCCCTTTCCTCCAATTTTCCAGGAGCTGCAGGCAGCAGAGAGCCTGCATTTTCCAGCCTGGGGCCTGGGGCTAGCAGGATCCGTGACCGGCCTCGGCTGACTCCCGCCCGGCTGGGCTTCCCAGGGCCCAGATGGGTGCAGTCTCCTGCCTGCCCACGGGCCGGTGTCCCTCGGCAGAGGAAGAGCTCTGTAATCGAGGTCCTGCTCCATGGCGGGTGGACGACGTCTCCAAGCCGACCTGGGTCCTGCAGGCCGCTCGCACCAAACTCTCACCTTGACCGGGAGGACTGAAGGCGCGGGCTTGTGGAAGGCAAGCTCGCGCTCGGGTACACGTATGCCTCACTCGCCCACAAACAACACCTGCAACGCACAGAACTTCCCCGGAAAGGTGAGGGGGCTGGCGACAGGGACACAGACCCCTCGGGCGCAGGGCTTGGGGACCAGAACGGTCTTCGCTGAGCTGCCTGCACTGAGCAGAGCGGCTCGACCTGGAAGCAGCGTGGGCTCTCCTTGCAGAAGTGGACACACTCAAGCGCCAGCGAGGAGGAGGGAGAGGACGCACGCTGCTGGCTCTAGGTGACACGAACTCAGACCCGGACAGCGTGTGTCGCGAGCTGGACTCCGGCCGGGGGGCCCACACGGACCCCGGGGGTTGCCAGCCCCCGCCGCCCGCTCAGCGGCCGCAGGAGGGCGAGCAGGCACCCCAGATTGCGCCTCCGAGTCTTCCAACCCTTGTCTCGGTCCCGCCCCGCCTTCGCGGTTCGGCACCCTGGGCTGTTTAGGACCCCGCGGCGCAGGGGCGGGGCGGCGGGCGACCGGGACGGTGACAGGTGCGCCACTCGGCCAATGGCGGGGCCTGAGCCCCTCCCCAAGCCCCCGCCGAGCGCGCCAATCGGCGGCCGCGCTGCGCTTCAAGTGCGCGGAGGGGCGCGGGTCCCCAGCCCGGCGCCAGCGGCCTCGGCGCGGTCGCCTGCGGGCTGCATCGCTGAGCCGGGCTCTCGGCCCCGGCGCGCCGAGCACTCGCGTGGGAGTTTGTGCGAGAGCGAGTGAACGCGGCCCGGGGCGGGGCCCGCACGGAGGAGGCGCCCGGACCATGGTCACCCTTGGCTGAGTTTCCGGCGGCGACTTTGATTACTGGCAAATAATCATAACAATACCGAGCCCCGGGGCTGGCCGCCGCCACGGAAAGACTCCGCGGGCCGGCACGCGGCCGCGTCACGCACCTCGCCGCGCTGATCGCCAACCCCTAACGAGCCGATGGAAAAATCCAAAAATTTCCGCATCGACGCGCTGCTGGCCGTGGACCCCCCGCGAGCGGCCTCGGCGCAGACCGCGCCGCTGGCCCTGGTCACGTCGCTCGCGGCCGCCGCAGCTGGCCCCGGGGGCGGTGGCGGCGGCGGGGCGAGCGGCGGCTGCAGCCCCGCGTCCTCGGAGCCTCCCGCGGCGCCCGCCGACCGCCTGCGCGCCGAGAGCCCGTCGCCACCGCGCCTGCTGGCCGCGCACTGCGCGCTGCTGCCCAAACCGGGCTTCTTGGGCGCCGGCGGCGCGGGCGGCGGGGCGGGCGGAGGCGGAGGCGGGCCCGGGGGGCCCCACCACCACGCGCACCCCGGCGCCGCCGCCGCCGCTGCCGCCGCCGCCGCCGCCGCCGCCGCGGGGGGCCTGGCGCTGGGGCTGCACCCGGGGGGCGCGCAGGGCGGCGCGGGCCTCCCGGCGCAGGCGGCGCTCTACGGCACCCGGTCTACGGCTACTCGGCGGCGGCGGCGGCGGCCGCGCTGGCCGGGCAGCACCCGGCGCTCTCCTACTCGTACCCGCAGGTGCAAGGCGCGCACCCCGCGCACCCCGCCGACCCCATCAAGCTGGGCGCCGGCACCTTTCAGTTGGACCAGTGGCTGCGGGCGTCCACCGCGGGCATGATCCTGCCCAAGATGCCGGACTTTAACTGTGAGTACTGCGCAGCCCCCGAGCCTGCGGAGGGAGGAGGAAACGGGGGAGGGGAGTGCTGGCAGAAGGTTCTCTCGTGCGTCCTCCTCCACCTGGCACCTCCTTCTGCTGGTTCTCTGCTCCGAGCGAGCTGTGGGAGCGCCGCGAGGCCGCCTCGGCTCTGCCCGGGGCCTCGGAGGACTCGCGCGGGCTGCGCGATGTGGGATTGTTAGCGAATGATTAAAATACCCACGCGCGGACCTTGCTTCGCTTCCTCCCTTAATGGGAAGGGGCAGCTGAAGGTGTGAGACTAAAACCTAATGATTAACCGGCAGGCTAGAGGAGAAGGAAGTGGTGGGGGAAGGCGAGCCGACGAGCGCCCTGGAGTCAGGTGTGCCTGGGAATCGGGGGCCACCGAAACCAGGGGTTTATCCTCAGGGAAACGGACGTGACTTCGGTCCCGCATTCTGGGTTCTGGGGAGACCCCCGGTCCCTCCCAGGAAAGGGAGCGCTCCCAGAGTTAGCGAAGGAGAAATGAGCTTCAAGTGGCCCAGGGACGTAAGGCAGGGGCCCCGGGCGACCTCCTGGCCCTTTGCGGGGCTCTGCCCGCCTCTGGAAGGGCGCTGGGTCCGGGGTGCGATGCCCAGGAGGCGGGTGGCCTGACTTGAACAGAGAGATGGCACGCTCCGGAAGGCCGAGAGATGCGCCCTCCTTCAGGGGCTCTAAGCAGCAGGTGCCCGCCTCCGAATTCAGGGCGCCTAGCACAGCGCGCAACCCTCCCCAAGACCGCAACGCGGGAGGGCTGGCCATCTCCAACCCGAGAGCCGCCCAGTTGTGGGCGGCGTGCTCGCCACCCAGGCGGGACACCTGGCCGAGGCCTGAACCTCTCTCTCTCGGGCTTTCCTGGCGCGCGCGGGCGGGCGGGCGCGCGGGAGTGGAGTTCCAAAGATCTGGATCTCAGGTCCGCTCGCTCCACCCGGGCACCGCTCAGAGGAAGATGCTTGAGGCTTAACGATTTCAGCCGCCAAACACCCAAACAAAGAGACCCGATTGTTTCCGTCTGAATGGATTTGTTTAGACTGGGGAGACGCAGGCACGGGAAGGGAAAAAAAGCAAAAAAGAAAACAGAAATAAACACTTGCCAGAATTCAGATTCCTCTAGAAGCTACGGTCGTGACTAAACAGAGAAAAGCCAGGATCCCAGGAGGCTGGAGAAGTCACAGCCGGGTGAGAAAATCCCAGCATGTGCGCTGTCTGCCCGCGGCCACCCCAGGCTGCTCCCGGCTCAGCTCCCAGAAGGCCCTAATGGCCACCCATCCCTTCCGTTGGAGTCACCCCTCCCGACCCCAGGCAAAGAAGAGGGCAAGCTTGCTCTCACTTCTGTGGCTTCAGGCATATCTGAGCTCCTGATCTGGGGTCAGCCAAACCCAAGGCACCCTTCCAGGCCTGGCCTCAGAGCCCAGCAAAGCCCTTCTGATGGAATGCCACCCCACGCATCTTTTATTGTGACCTGCATCTCCCAGAGCCTGGCAGGCTTAGTCTCCCACTGATGGGGGGGGGGGGCAGGCAGTGGTGATCTCCACACAGGCCTCCCCTGGGCTCTGGGTTCCCTGGCCACCCGGCTGTTTTCCCTGGCCTGCGTGGAGCCCAGGATTGCCCAGAAAACCGACTAAAGCCACATCCCTTTGCCAACACACTTAGTCCATCTCTTATTCCTAATCTCGACCCAGAGTGAGCTAATTAAAACCCAGCCAGCTTTAAGTTCAGAAAAAGAATCTGAACACCGAATCCTGAAGGGCAGTAACAGACAGGTGACCATGCCAGAATGGGCTCCTCTGGTCGCTGGAAACCTGTTTGGTTTCCTTTAATTGGTGTCTTAGCCATCAGATGGCATTTCCCAAATGGTCCCTTCAGAGCCAGTGTTTTAATTAAAGTTCTAATGTATTGTCAAGTTGGGAATTCGGGGCCTTGTTTAACTAAAGCGGGGGGCGTGGGCCTTCCCATAAAGCAAATTGCCCATCCCATGGGAGCTTGAGCTCATCCTGCCAGGGGCTGGCCTCTTTTCTTTCCTTTCCTTTCTTTTATTGTCTAACACTTGTCAGGCTCCTGGGAAATCAAGGGAAGTCTCGCTTTGAGGTCATAAAATTCTCTGTGATGTAACCGTGTGAAATTATGTAAATAAAGCCAAGAGACCTCCTTGAACACGTAGAAAGCCGGATCCCCCTGTGCCTAGGCCTTTAATTTGCGTAATGAGAATTGTCCTGAAAGGCTTCCAATCTCCCAAGGCTCTGCCCCTCTGGACCCTGGGCCGGCGTTGTCAGTAAAACATTTTACATGCGGGAGAGTCTCTGATGAATACGCATATTTAGGACAAGAATTTGGTCCTTTTCTTCCCTTCCTTCCTTCCTTCCTTCCTCAGCTTTTCCCCTTTTCTCCTATTCCTTTTGTACCTCAGGAGGTGGTGGTGGGAATCCTGCACCACTTCTTCGCTGGGCAGGAAGAAGTAGGAAGTGATTCCGGTGGCCTGTGTGGATTGGGCCTGAGTTGGGGAAGGCGCCGGGAGGAGTGGGGAGGAGGGGGTCCCTGGGCCTCTGCTACTTGCCTTTCTGTCCACCTGCTTTCTACTAACGCCCACCCAGGTGGAGAGGATGTGCCTGGGTGATAGGCTCTCTTTAATCAGGACACCCGGGACCCGCCTGGGAAGAAAAGACTTGGTCCCTCTAAACCCAAACCATCTGGGCCCACCTGGCCGAGGGGTCCTGGGCTCCAGGGCTTCCTTGGGGAGGGACGCTGACACTAAAGAAAGAGCAGCGACCCATGGACTGACCTGGGCTCACGAGCCTCTCCCACCCCAGCCCAGGCGCAGTCCAGCCTCCTGGGGAAGTGCCGCCGGCCACGCACCGCCTTCACCAGCCAGCAGCTGCTCGAGCTGGAGCATCAGTTCAAGCTGAACAAGTACCTGTCGCGGCCCAAGCGCTTCGAGGTGGCCACATCCCTGATGCTCACCGAGACCCAGGTGCGCCGCTGCGCCGCCCTCAGCGCGTTCTGGCCTCCCAGGGCCACTGCCGCCTCTGCTCTCTTGATCCTCGGCCTTCCTGGGCACCTGGAGCTGTGCCCATTTGACCTTTAGGGTGTGGATTAACATCCCAGCCAGAGTTCCCATCTGCCCCCAGGGTTCCTATACTGGCACCCAGAGGTCTGATTCAGCTGGTTCTGTTGGGCCCAGGAATTTGCACCCCCCCCCCATTCTGAAGCAGGTGGTCCCCAGGCCACATGAGAGAGATTTCACTCGAGAAAGAGAGGAGGGAACATCTTGAGATTTACAGACAGGTACCCCAGCAGCCCTGGCCCTTCGCACACCTCGGTGCTGGGGTGGGAGGTAGGGGTCTTCGTCTGAGCTTCCTCAGAGCCCCCAGCCGGTCTTTGGGTTTTGCGGACGCACAGGGTGGGGAGCGCCGTCCCCCTGGAGCTTCCGAGCCCTCCAGTGGGGAGCCCCACGCCCGGGCCTGGTGATGGAGGCGCGCGCACGGCGGGTGCGGGTGCAGGAGCCCGGGGACTCGGCGGGGACGGAGGTGGCAGGTTTCTCACGCCGCTTGTGCCCGCAGGTGAAGATCTGGTTCCAGAACCGGCGGATGAAGTGGAAGCGCAGCAAAAAGGCCAAAGAGCAGGCAGCGCAGGAGGCCGAGAAGCAGAAGGGCGGCGCGGGCGCGGGCAAAGGCGGCGGCGCCGGGGACCAGGGCGACGAGGAGCTGCTGGGGCCGCCGGCGCCCGGGGACAAGGGCAGCGGACGCCGCCTGCGGGACTTAAGGGACAGTGACCCCGAGGAGGAGGACGACGACGACGACGAGGACCATTTCCCCTACAGCAACGGCGCTAGCACGCACGCCGCCTCCTCTGACTGCTCCTCCGGGGCCGACTCGCCTGCCCCGCGGTCCGGCGGGCCCGGCCACCAGCCCCCGCCCCAGTAGGAGCCCCGCGGCCGGCGGGTGGCGGTCGGCCTGGATGCTGCGACCCCTCCCATGCCCCCCAGGGCTGCCCCCCAGGCCCGCGAGCGGAGGCGGCCCGGCCCTGGGGGCTGCTGCCCTTGTGGGCCCCAGCAGCCGTCTGCTCTTCAAGGGACGGAAAGAGGGAGGCCCAGCAGGTTCAAGCTTGATCTCTGGTTCTTTTTCGTTTAATTTGGTTTGCGCTGGGGGGAGGTGTTTCCGAGAAGAACTGAGCGCTCATCAGGGGAGGCTCCCGGTTCCCCTCCTGCCGAGTGGAGAAGGCGGAAACCTACAGTGTTAAACCACCTCCGAGACTTGAAACCTCTGGACACGCCGTTCTTCTGAGTGCTCAGAAAAGAAAAAATGTTTTGTGCTTATGTATCTTGGGGGGAGGGGGAGGGATTTATGCCATGAGCGTCCAAACTGCTGGAAGTCCCAAAACTGTATTGTCTTTATTTTTGTATATTGTATTTATAAATATATATATAAAGAAATGTCTACTTACGCATGCTAAATTATCATTTAGCTTCTCCCATCGCCCACGATGGAATGTAAAATAAATTGGTTTTTTTACTGGGTGAGAGCGCAAATCTTTTGAGGGGAGTTGTGAAAGCGGGGTTTACTATTTTTGTCGTTGAAATGATGGGCTGTATTCCTCAACTGACAGCAGAAGGTGAAAATCAGAATCGCGAATGGGTGTCCGGACCGCCACCTCTCTGGGCCCCGAGGCCGGTGAGGAACTTGATTCCGGCTGCTGGGGAGTCGCAGGTACGAAGTGTCGGTAAAAATACCCGAGGCCAGGTGTCAGCGCGCGTCCGCGTGCCGGCTCACATCAGTCCCGGATGCGAGGATCTCCAAGGAGTAACTTTGGACGCCATGTACTTATTTTCCTCTTTCTCTGAGGATCTTCTTGCTTCGCCGGCGCTCCAGAAGCGGAAACACACTATTTGAATGTTTCAGAAAACAAGCTCCAAACCACCAGACTTCACTGGTCTCTGGGGTCCGTGCGGCCCGGGGCGCTGCTCGCGCGCCTTTTCCGCATTGCCTCGCGTAGCGCGGCGCTTCTCTTTCTCGTCGGCCCTGGCGTCTCTCCCGAAAAACCTTCTCGGGCCGGCCAGGACTGGTTTTCCTGGATCTGGGCAAACGTCCGCGAGGACAGCACTGGGCGACTGGAGCGCTCCAGCCGGGCCGCGATGGCTGTGGGTTAATAAAGCTCGGCAGCGCGCGCCATCCATCACCCGGGCCGAGCAGGGCCTTCACCCTGTGCCGCACGCATGCCGGGCTCGCCCTCCGCGCGGCTCCCCTTCCCCCACCGCTGACGCGCGGGCCTCTCCTGGGCCTGGAGGAAACAGGTGAGCCAGGGACACTGCTTCTTCCTCCTTCCCTCGTGGCTTCCTCCTTCCTTCTGTTTTTCACTCTTTCTCACCAGCAACTGGGCCGGGGTGCGCCCCTCCCCCTCCCCTCCCCTCCCCCCTCTCCCCTCCCCCCTCCCTCCCCCCCCCCCCTTCTCTCGCCCCCTCGTCTCCCCCTCCTCCCAGCTGATAAATGAGTTCAGATGGGCCTGGAGTTTCATTTGGGTGATTACCGCGCAGGCGAGCGGGGCCACTCCTCGACTTCAGGGCCGGGGTGAGATTAATATCCTCTCTGGCAGCTCATTATCACCCCGGGCTCCTTCCATAAAATCCAACCTCAGCCAAGCCCGGGGGCGCGGCGCTGCTGGGAGCCTGGGCAGGAGCTGCTGTCGGGCGGGCGGCAGGGCGCGGGCCTGGCCGCCTCCGGGTCCAAAGGTGCTTTGGGGGGACGCGGACCTGGTTTGCAACTGGTGGGAGAGCCCGAGAGCCCGAGGAAAGGGGTGGGAAAATTAGAGAGAGGGGATGGGGAGGGGGAGAGGAGAAAGACAGATGCCTTTGGGGGTTGAAAAAAATCTGCAATCCGTGTGTATCTCGTTTTAATTTCTACCACATTGGGGAAGTTCAGCCTGAAGCCATCTCTGCCCCGGCTGGCTCCACATCTGGGGGTTATTCCCCGCCGCCCCCCTGCTCGGCTGGCCCAGCGTCAGCGCCCCTACCTCAATACTGGGCCCCCCGGGGACCGGCGGCGGCCGGGGAGGGGGTGTAGCGTCCGACCTGGAAGCTGGGGCGCCGCCGGCCTCGGCGGAGGGTCCGTCCCTCCACCCCAAGGTGCAGACCCTCCTGAACCCGGGAATCGTTCGCTCCCTCGGCGACAAGGGGCAGAGGCGCACTAAAGGAAGACAGAATGATTGTGACCCCCGGCCCCGTCCTCCAGCAGAGCGACCCCGGGTTTGGCGCGGGGACTTGGCGGCCGGGAAGGCGGGACCCGCCCGCGGCCTCAGCGTCTCCAGCCAGCGGCTTAAGCGCGACGGAATTTATCTCGCTAATAAATTTAATGATCAATTCGTTCTTGTCACAGTAGCTTTTCCCCAAATCAATTATAGCAAATTTAAATATAATCACCGGCTCATCCTCACCCACTCCGGGCACAGCGAACAATTCATTCCGCATAATGAGCGGCCGCCAGCCCCGCCCCGCCCGCCCACCCGCGGCCCCCGCGCGGCGGGGAGGGAGCTCTGCCGCCTCGAGGACCGGGTTCCCAGGACCCGGAGCCAGGCCCACGCAGCCCAGCCCTGAGGGGGACGAAGCACTGTTTCCAGACCAGCCCAGGCTTGGCCCTCGGGCAGCGGCGCGGGCCTCCGGCGGTGAAGCCCCAGTGCCCGGCGGTCTCCCCGCTCTCCACCCGGCGGGGTGCGCCCTGCCGACCCGGCGGCGCCGGGACACCCAGACCCCAAAGCGAGGGCCGCGCCCAAAGCGGACCCGGCCCTCTGGGAACGCCGCCCGGCCCCCTGCCCACCCCGGGAGCCACCCTCGGCGCGGGTTCTCTTCACCTTAATGGGGGAGTCCCCCGTTCTCAGAAAGGGTACCTCGTCGTGTGCCAGGGTCTCCAGCGTGTGCGAAGAAAATGTGGTTAAAGACCTTCCTGTGAGGAAGAGACCAATCTATCGGTGCCCTCCAGGCCACAGTCCAGGGATCACCTGTCCAGCCCTCGCAGAGCTCTGGCCCAGGGTCCGAGGGCCCTGACCAGACGCCTTAAGGCTTGGAGTCTGAAGAGTGCAGAAACGCCTAGAACGTAGACGAAATGGGCCTGTTCCTTTCGCGGTTGGCCTTCCTGCACCCTGTATCCAGGCGGAAGTCAGCTTGGAAAGATCCGCGGGAAAGACTTTCTATGACAGCAAAAGCAAAAACAGGCAAATGGGATTATGTCAACATTTAAAACTCCTGCGCAGCAAAGGGAACAATCAACACAATGAAAGGCTACCTGGGAAGGGAGAAAGTATTTGCAACTCAAATATCTGATATAAGGGATTCATATCCAAAATATATGAAGAACTACAATTCAACAACAACAAAAATCCATCCAGTTAAAAATAGGCAAAGGAATTGAATAGACATTTCTCTGGAGAAGACGTACAAATGGTCCACAAGCACATGAAAAGATCCTTAGCATCACTAACCATTAGGCAGATGCAAATCACAACCACAATGAGCTAGCACCTCCCACCTATTAGGACAGCTGTTACGAAAACAAAAACAAAACAGAAGATAAAAAGTGTGGGTGAGGATGTGGTGAAATTGGAACCCTTGTGCACTGTTGGTAGGACTGGAAAATAGTATGGAGGGTCCTCAAAACAAACAAACAACAAAAACAGAATTACCATATGACCCAGCGACCCTACTTCCGGGTGTATATCCAAAAGAACTGAAAAGGAGCTGGAAGAGATATTTGCACAGCCATGCTCATTGCAGCATGATTCACAATAAGCCAGGATGGGATACATACGTGCAAACAGTGGAATAGTATTCAGCCTTTAAAAAGAAGGAAATTCTGACACCTGCTACAACAGGGCTAAGCCTTGAGGACATAATGATTAGTGAAATAAGCAAGTCACAAAAAGACAAATGCTGCATAATTCTACTTAGGTATGTGACATCTAAAATAGTCAAATTCTTAGAGGCAGCACATAGAAGGGAGGTTGCCAGGGTCTGGGAGGAGGGGGAAAAGGGGAGATGTTTAATGGGGAGGGAGTTTCAGTTTTGCAAGATGAAAAAATTCTGGAGAGCTCTTGCCCAACAATATGTATACAGTTAACGCTACTGTACTGGCCACTTAACATGGCTAAGGTGATTAAAACGGGGACACGCCTTCTTACCTTCCTCCCTCCATTCCTCCCTCCCGCCCCCTCCTCCGCTTCTTCCCTCCCCCCTTCCCTCCCCCCTCTCTCCCTCCCTCCTGCTGAAAGGGCAGACTTGCTGTAGAACATCCAAATCCCGGAGAAGGCTTAGGAAGGGAGCATCTGGCCCCCAGGCCGCCGCGGACCTGAGCGGCCGCGTAGTTTGCGGGTCAGACGCTGCCGCCCCTCGCGGTGTGGGGAGCCCGGCCCGCTCCGGGCTGGCTCGACGAGCACCTCCAGGTCTGCGGGTTAACTGACCCCTGCGGCCTGCCCTGCCCTCCCACGCCCCCGCCAGACCCCAGGCCGGGACCGCGCTCCGGGGGTGGCGGGCGCCGCGGGGAGGGGCCTGCGGGGGGGTTCCCGCAGGACGTGGGCGCCCCCCACCCCGTATCAAAGTCCTGCGGTTCCCTGTGTCTCCCTCAATAAAACTAATCCCTTTGGAGGAGTGACTCAACCGAGAACGCTGCAGTGTTCCAGACTACAAGGCAAATATGTTTTTCAGATTTGGTTTTTATGGTCGGATTAAAGTTTATTTTCCATAATAGGGCACCTAATAAAACTCATAAAGCCGGGTCGGGGCTCCAGCTGGTGGCCTCATTTAACACTTTCACTTCGTAAATCACTTTACGACGTGCCAGGTGTGTCCCAAACTGGACGCCAACGAGAACCAGACCCCCGCCGCCGTGCCCAGCACACACAGGCAGGCACACACACACACACACACACACACACACGCACACGC